CGGCGGGCAGCAGGCAGGTAGGTGGGACGGGCGGGCTGCGAGGGCGCGGGGGGGCCCCCGGCCCCCCTGCAGCTCTGCTGTCCTGGCCCGCAGACAGCCCCTGGTCGGTGGCGGACATCCTGACGGAGGATGACGAGCAGGACCGCGTCCCGCTGCAGAAGCTGAAGCTGTTAGGTAGGCTGCCGGGGGGCGGGGGCGGTGGCAGGCTTTCGGCAAGGCCGGCAGAGATGTTCACAATTCCCATGGATTCTTCGTGGAGCACTGCAGTTTATCCCAGTCGGGCGCCTCATTGCAAGGCCTTAAAGATTTAAACGTCCGATACCTGGCCTTTCACTATGTCTCTTTGAAAGTTTATTTGCAAAGTAAGGGTGGTCTGAACTGCATTTGTAGCTGTTCGAGAGTAGTACTGTTTGTTTTTTGTTTTTTTTTTATAAAGGGGAGTCAGAAGAACTGAGAGGCTTGCTTCTGAATCCACATCTCAGGCAGCTACTGCTGACAGTCGATCAAGCAGAAGATAAAAGCTCCCTCATGAAAAAATACATGCAGGAGCCGTTATTTGTTGAATTTGCAGACTGCTGTTTGAGAATTGTTGAACCTCCAGAGAAGGAGAACATTCTTCCTGAGTGAGCTGCTTTGGGAACATTTTTCTTCCCTTGCGATTTTTTTCCCTCTGACAGAAGAGATTTGACAGCGCCCCGTGCTACTGTGGTGCGCTATTCTGTGTATTTCCTCGAGGTTTGGTCACCCTTTGCTCATGGATGTCAGTGCTCTAATTTTCAATTTAGAGTTGATAAACAGTGACATAGTAGTTGTGGACAGATTTCTAGATCCTAGGAATTAAACTTGATATTCTGTGGACTTGCTTTCTGTTGGTACAGAAATACTGTCAAACATGGGAAATGTTGCTTCCCAATGACAATTAATATTAAACATATTTACATTTATTTTAATCCACAAAGTAATCTGAAATGTTTTTTGTTAACTAAACCTTGTTGCGGATTGTCAGACACTTTTACAAAGTATTTAACAGTTTATTTAAAAGTGGCATACACAGAAGAGCTGAACATTTTCAAGACCCACCTCTGATGAGAACCTTGGCCCCTTGGCAGAGGCAACGCTGCTGACTCGGGAGTGCTAGAAGTGCATGGCAGTTGTGAGAGGACATATATTTTGGTTGTATAGATAAAAAACAGGAATCCAGTCTTGCTTTTCCCTGAGACATCTGCCTTTAGCGTTACAGTTGACTGCTACTCGCTTCCTTGGTCGCAGTCGGAACTGTTAGGACGTTACTGAACGCTCGTGGTCGGTCAGAATAGCTGTACCTCCCAACGGGAATCCAGCACGCATCAGAAATGTTTGCCTTATTTGCTCTCTCATTACCAGCCTCTTGCTTCTCCCAGGTAGTGCCAGAAGTGTTCAGTTCAAGTATATATTGCTAAAGCACTTGATCTATTTTAATTATGTTGAATGTTCTTATAGTACTGGCATTTCCTCTAATATGTGCATGTGTGTGAGAGGAGGAATGCCCCCCCATGCGTTCTAAATTTGAAGTATATTATATTATATGTACAATGCATCGACATAGAAAGCTTTGAGGTAGCAGCAGATATGGACATTGAGTAATTTGAAAGCAGCGGCTTGCAGACAGTCCTTCCCTGAAGGAAACAGTACATGCAGATGGCCAGAACCTATGTTGGAAGGAGTTTTTTTCTGTCCAATAAAATCTGGTTAAATCCAGTGATGGAATAGGCATCCGTGTGGGGGCTGACATTTGCATAATGCAGGGGAGACTTCTTACAGTGAAACTTGATAGAGCCCTGCAAGAAAAAGAGGTGGAGAGGTCAGTTGATGTTTTTGCCAGATTTTGAGCTAATTCTGCTATTCAAACCAAGTAGTCCTTTAGTATATAAGCAACTAGTGAATATGAATAAGGATAGAGGAAGACCTCCAAAGGAGTCCTAGTACAAATGGATTTAAGAGATATTATTACTACAAAGAGTACCAGTACTGCAATTTGAACTGAACTTAGCTTAAACTCTGAAGATTTGAGTATTTAATCACAGGCACAAGATGATTTGTAACTGGACTGCAGTTTCCGAGGGAAGCCAGCGTGGGTTGTGGCTTGTTTGTAGTAAATGGTACCTAGATTATTCTGCGTGTGCGTAGGAGATGAAGTACTTGAGGGTTGCTCCCTGCTTTTTGCCCTGAAAAATGCTCCCTGCGAATTAGTCTGTGCAGTTGTCTGCACAGTGAAGTTAATCCCGAATTACTGGGATATTATTAATACACCCTGTGGCTTTTCCCCAAGTGGATGCTTTTTCATGTGTTCACCTGTTGTGCAACTTGAATCCCCCAAGCAGAAAAAATACATAGTAGGTAATAGGAGAGCCTGTGTTAGAATCCTCTGCTCTCCATTTCTGAAGCACAGCTTTGATCGGTTTGTTCCTATGACAGGGATTAACAAGAGTTTTCATGCTTAGTTGAAAGTCTCAACTCAGCCCTGTGTTTAGCTTGACCTATGGACGTCAGAGTCATCCTCACCTACCTAAGCCAGTGGAAAAAGGAAGACTGTAGCTTGAGAGCAGACTTCATAGTTGTTCTGCTCGTTAGCAGAGTTCAGGTTCCTAAACTCATGGCAGCCTAATTGTGCCGCTGACTGGAGCGCGTGAGGTTTGTTACCTGGGGGAGAGCTCTAATGGAAGTGATGCCGCAGCCAAAGAAACAGCTTTCCACCTTGTAGCAGCTGCTCTCCCGAAGTACTCTGAGGCATGCCAGCAGGGACAGGTCTCTCCGAAGCCCTGTTACAGTTACAGGTGCAGCAGCCAGGACCAGGCCAAGAGGCCAGAACTGAATTATTGCATGCGGAGGCCAAGTTGTTTCCAAAGAGCAAGGTGGTTTGGCCGAGATCACCTTAGCTCCAGGAACAGAGAAGAACGCCTTTTCTTCACCGTCATCCAATTCTGCTGCTGCTAACGCAGCCATTTTTGCCTGATGAAGAGATGCAGAACAATATTCTTGAACAAGATTCTAAAACATCTTCAACAAAATTTAAAACTGCGAAACTAAAGAGTCTGAAAAAGAGGGCATCTTAAAAGATAGGACACCCTTTGAGACATTTTCCCATTTTATGAAGGTAAGAAATGAGACCATTCTGCAGTCTCTACACTGCCACCCTGTAGGAGCAGCTGTACAAGACTGGCATCCATCTTCTACTCTTCAGCTTGAGAAGAGTTTTCTGGAGAATTGACAGGACTGGTTTTGTATAGTTACTTGACAGAGGTAGATTCTTTCTGAAACACTAGAAAGCCTCAGTCACTCAATTTCAGTGCTTTCCTGTACCGACATACTTACTTTCCATTTCCTCCAGCCGTGCTTAATAACGTTAGCAGCCCTGCGCATCCTTCGGAAGTGATTCTTGGCTAACCAGGAACGAATAGCTGAAGATTTAATTAAAAGAAATCTGAGTACAGAGAATCTCAGAAGGTCTTGCAAACGATGTAAGAGAGATGGCCCTTAAGCTTTCTCCATGCTCAATTAACCACTCCTGCCACTTTAAACATCTAGTCTAACTGGAAATGTTACAAGTTATCTTCAGTCACACCCTTATCAAATTACCTGCTTGGATGACAGTTGCTGACCATCTCTCCTTCGCTAGTTTCTTCTGTTTAAATCTTCTCCAGCAACACTGAATGCAAAATGCTTTCTCATTTAACACCTCTGCTCTTCTGGCTTCAAGTTGCTCCAGCTGCATTGGGGATACAAGCCTGCAGCTAATACTGGGGGACAGAGTTGTGTTCACAACTCTTCCCTCTTCTACAGTCTCTTCATTAGTGCTTATTAGATACCACGTAAAATGAACACGTAAGTATCTGAGGGGGAAAAGGGTGTCGTGGGGGGGAAAAGTGGACGCTCGCAAAGTCACAGTCGCAGCTGGCTTAAAACTAGCTCTGTTGAAGGGACTTCATTTATGGCGGCACCCTCCAGTATGCAAGCTTTGCAAAAGTGCCTTCCTCGCCTTCATCTCTTTCACAAAGAAGCTGCTGAGGCCTGTCAGAGTAGCCAAGTCTGGCAGCCGGAGGTAAGGAAAGCTGTAATCTGTACTAGAACTGGGAGGATACTGACAACAGCGGACACAAGTGCAGCTCCTTGTCCATTAGCAACAAGGACACCACTAAACAAAGTGGTTCTGATAGTTGGATTCTGATGGATGTTTGGTTTAGTTTAATAATGTGAAGGAAAATGCCAAATTGTGGTCACAGTGGGATTAGGAGGAGTACCGCCTAAACCGTGATGGTAATCTGTGCCAGAATCCCCATTGTGCAAGTACACTGCAGAACTGTTAGCCAAGGAAATAGCACTCTTACCACAGAATTAGCCATAAATACTTTGGTTTTGCCACAGTACGCTGAAGTGTTTTCTGGTCTGCTCCCTTTTTGCTCAGCAGTAGATTGTCCCATAACAACATTCTGAAGGATCTCAAAAACAACAGAACGCGATACTTTGTCATCATCCACCACTGGAGTCTCGCCTGCAAACGAAGCAGTGAAGAGAAGGTATCACAAAACTTGGAAATCAGGACTGAGTAATTGTCTTTACACTGAGATTTTGTGGCTGTTTAGGGGGGATACACCTACAGCAAGAGGGGAGGAGGTGATGGCTGAGACATCACTAGATCTAGCTGTGGTTAAGGGAAAAATGTGACAGCATAGATTTCACCATGTGCTTGCAGCTAGAAAACCAGTGTGGTGTGTTTTAGCTAGGCTGTGGTTTGGGTGCTGTCTTACCACCTCTATTATAACCTATCTGTAGGTAACAAATGTCATTTTGGGTAGATCTAGACCATGAACAGACATGTGGAAGGCTCAGCTGTTCTCACATTCTTTAAAGCATCCTACATGGAAACATTAGAAAGCAACAGCAATACAATTAAGAATAGATTTGAGCAGCTCAGTCCTAAGAAAATCTGATGAAATGCTCAATACTAAAAGCTGTTGGGAACAAAGAACAAAAAGCAAGGAATTAGACTTGTAGCCTTAACGTACTGAAGGATGCAGGAACAGAAAACAAATTCTAGACAATTCTACAGCCTTCACAGGGCATCAGAAGCAGCTACAGGAACATGTACTAAGCAGGAGTTTATTGCAGCAATAAGAGGTTATTAAAACCACTTCTGGGACATTGTACACAATTTTTTGCATTATGAGACAAACAGGTGAGCCAGATTAATCTATTTGGAAACGGAGGTAGACTTAATTCAGACCTGTCCTTGAAAGAGATTGTGGTGTTCAAGGCAATGCTGCATGAGTTTCTGCATGCCCAATGCCGGAACTTGATGGTCTTTGTATCTTTCCATCCTGGATACTGTTTGCTTTTCTGCTATAAATATTTATAAGGAGATGAGAGCATTTTAAGGTACTGAAAACAAATATAAGCAATTCTTGCTTACAGGAAGACATCTGGTGACTATGATGGTGTTCATGGGGCTGGGCTGATAAGGGAACCAAAAGCTTATCCCCGTGTTTAGGAAATTGTTTTGCTTTATTTGCAGCTTATTACCTGCTAAAGATAAAAAGGACTAGTAACCTATCACAATGAGGCATTTCAGCTAATGGGTTTATAATTGAGGG